AAAAGTCACTCACACACACACACACACACACACACACACACACACACACACACTAAAGTATCAGAGAGCATCTTTTTGAGAATTGGTGATTTCGCATGTGATATTCAGATAGGGCCATGGCCAAAACTTCTAGGAAATAAATGTATGTTTGATTTCATTAAAAGTTATGTCTAATATAAAATTTTTGTGTTCTAGGAAGCACTCAGATATTCCCTTGGTGCTAGCTTTGTTTCTGTCAGTTTATCCTGAATAAGTCTATAGAACAATCCATTCATCCCCAGTTTAATGTTTACTCACAGCCCAAGGAATCGCCGACATGTAGAGTTAGGAGGCTCTCTTGTGAACTATAGGACATATTCCTTTTCTCCTTATCAAGTCTGATCCAAGAGCAACTGTCTTTCTCAACCTATTCATGATCTTTGCTCTTTAGCTGAGAAGGAAAGAAGCCTGAAGATCAATGGCAACGGTGCAGACCTCACTGCCTTCCTCACTCTCCTGGCAAAGCAGGTGAGAGCCGGGTTGCCTTTGTAATAGACGCCCGTGAGGGCCAAGACCCATATCGCACAGAAGCTGAACACGTAGGATTAGCCACTCCTAAATCGTGTGGTTTTGTCTGTAGGACCTGTAATATTGGTCCTTTTATTCTTCCTGATATTGATCATTTGCTATTTTTTTCTCCCTCATTGCTGCTCCCTGCCCACTCTCTCTAATTAAATTTGCAACTGATATTTATCATTTTTATTAGAGAATCAACATTTCTGATACCAACATCTCCCAAAAATATCATTTGTGTAATATAGCATCTGTAGGTCTTTTTTTTTAACTTCCATACTTCCAAGATCTCCAGTAGAACACAAAATCTAATAAGTGATACAAAAGAGTTTTAGAATGTGAGTTCAAATCTAATTTCAAAACCTACATCAGAATTTAGCCATAATCCCAATCCCAAATGTTTACTTAAGTCCCTAAGTCATATTTCCTTTTCCTTGGTCATCATTCTAACTCTTTTCTAGTCCTTACCTTGTTCATGATAAAAATATGGTGGAACCAGGTGTAAATGACCCTTCGGAATCTGCATTCGTTCTCTGCTCACTGCTTCTCTCTGGTCTTTCTCAGGACACCCTGGATGCCAGTGTGCAGAGCTTTCAACAAGAGAGGCTGGGTAAGATAACTGACCTAAAGGACCAGCTGGTGGCCGCTCAGCACAGCCAATCCAAAGCCATCGAGGAGCGCCACGCTGCCCTGCTGAGGCGCTGGGAACAGCTGCTGGCAGCCTGTGCAGCCCACAGGCAGAAATTGCTAGAGAAACAGCTGCCCCTACAGAAGGTAAATGGTAAAAGATGATGAGGCATGATAAGACCTTGATTATATATGAGCCATAGAATCTAGCAACAAATAGTGGAAACTCTGTTTGGATATGTTTGAGTGTGTACTTTGGAAAGGACCGGAAAGACATTCTGGACTTTAGATGGCTAGGGAGGTGTTTTTAGGCTTTTGTCAGTTATCCAGCTGACTTGAGACGAAAGCTCGGCACAGGTGATAGAAGAGGCAGGTGGCACAACAGGGTGAACAGTCTTACTGTATAGCAGACCTACAGCTGGCAGGCAGGAGATAAGGTCATCCCTATGCCTTTTCCAGTTCAAATAAAAGACCTAGACAAGTACATATTGTGTTCTGACATGTCACTTAGCATCTCTGAACCTTGATTCTCCCATTTATGAAATAGGATAATATTACCACCATCTCTTGCTGTTTTCTGTTATTACTATTAAAAAGGATAATGGATCTGAAAAATTCAGTTTAAACCACTAAGTTCTATATGGATATAAGTGGTTAAAATATCCTTTCTAATGGTGGCTGCTAGGGTATTAGATGTTGATAAAAAAATAATAATGAAAGGAAGTTGGATGGTCAGTAAATTACTGAGCACTCCTAGACCATAACAAGTATTATACCATATAAGGTAGGGAGTTAGGGAAATTGGGAAAAAAAACACAAATAAAAACCAGTCCGTTTGAAAAAAAAATAGTCAGTCTGGACCCTTAGTTAATTTTTACTCTATTGAAAGACATGAGACCTAATTTTAGTGAGAAAAATAAATAAATCACTTAATGGAATATATATATATATATATATATATAGAGAGTAGAGAGAGAGAGATGAAAGATACTTCACAATTTGATTCTATTATTTTACTTTCTGATTGTAAAATATTTGTAAAATATTCAGTTGATCCATACTATTTTGAAAATAATAAGTACTTCATAGGTTTTTATATTCTTCATATGAGTTTTCTCTATGTTGATCTATTTTAACATATAGATTGCAGAAATGAGTACAGGGAAAATATAATAGTGCACAACCTCTTTAATGCCTATGTTTGGGGATGAAAACGAACTTGCATAACAAATCTCCCTGAAAGTACTATCTGCTGACCTCAAATTTATGATGATTTTAAATCTAAAAAAATTTTGATGACATTCTGTTTGCAACAATCCATGTTATTTCTCTCATTCAGAAGTTCAGTCATTGAGAACATACAGATAACTCCAGAGTGTATTGCAGGGGGAGGGATAAAGGTTAGAGTGTAGGAAATTGATTTAAACAGGAACTGGAAGCCCTGACCGGTTTGGCTCAGTGGATAGAGCGTCGGCCTGCGGACTGAAGGGTCCTAGGTTCGATTCCGGTCAAGGGCATGTACCTTGGTTGCAGGCACATCCCCAGTAGCGGGTGTACAGGAGGCAGCTGATCGATG